GGAAATTATCTTGGCAGCATTGAAATCCCAAAGTACAGTAGCTAGAAAACTGCTATCTGTAACAAAGATAAATATACTCGGAATGGACACCAGATATCAAAACTCAGCTTGGAGCTTGCCAGTCATCCCTGTTGGCTACCTCACTTCTGCATAAAGGAAAGGCTGTTCTCATATTTGCTCCTTCCTAAAGGAAAGGCTCTTCCCATATTTGCTCCTTCSTCCTTGGAAAGGACCAGTCCTTCCCCAAGCATTGTAGCTGTGCTGTTAAACGGCTTTGCAGGCCGCCCAGCAGCAGTTCCACACGGTTCACACATCTCTGTCATACAACAACCGTCCCAAGGGCTGGAGAAGGTCAAGGGTCCTGGCGGGCTGCACWTTGCCTACGTGGACAACACACACATAGCTGGTATTTTTGTTCCCAGAACATGACATTGGCAGGGCTATCATTGAAGCTGACACTCGCTGCTCTTTTACAAGATATTTATCATTGACAGAGGCTTTTGATCCGTATCTTTAAAGCCACATACAAAGGTCCTGGTAGCACTACCTGGGACTAAATAGATGTTTTTGCTTTTTCCTTTAACTTAAGTAGTTAAAGGCTGTATCTAGGACTTCAAACATTGGCAATTCAGCAAGCAAGGCTCCACAGTCAGACAGGGAACAACAGGACCAACAAACAAGCGAGTCATATTTATTATAAATTGGCCTTAGCAGGAACTCTGAAGGAGAAGCCGTACAAGGCCTGTATGGTCACACTGAGCATAACCTCCTTACTAAAATACAGCCTACCTGGCTATTCAGATTTTTATCCAACCTTCAATCTAACTTCTTAAGTTAATTCCTAGTTTTTGTCCATCCTACACCTATAAAGATCTTTTAAGCCTACCTGTAATAGCTTTTGTGTTTGTCACTTTGCTTCATTTGACAAATCTCTGTTTTTACTAAAAAGCTGCAAAGCAAGTGTGCTATGTTATTCTTGAATACCTTCTTTATGCACAGAATGCATTATTCATCTTCCCCATTCTCATCCTTTTCTACTAGTAGATTTCATATATATGAAACTTTGCTTGCTATCCTTATCAGCATTTTGAGGTGTTTTTGTAATAGGGAAAAAATATATTAAAATTTCAGGGGGCACTGAACTCAGTTTTTAATCATCAGATGACATTTTATATGACTGTTCATCTCTATAAACACACAGTGAGCTACAAAGCACCGTTGTATTTAAAACTAAATCCCTGCCATATTGAAACACAAAGTTTTCAAAAGCTCGCCGAAATAAATGATATGCTTTTCCTCACACTGCATTATGTGCCTCAGACAAATATAAGAAATTCCCCAGTGTTAAGCTTTCTATTTATCCTGGATTGAGGAATAAAAACTGAGAAAATGTGCAAAGAAGGAGCTGTCACCCATGACTGTGCACCATGCTACCATGCTAAGTATTCTGAGAGAAAGCTTGATTGATTTTGCTTAATGCACAGCTATGTATTCTTTGAGGTTTGAAAAATGCTCAAATGTACTACAGCATACACCTCTGCACTTAAACAGAGAAAAAAATAGCTTACCTTTAACTTTATTAAGCACATGATATATCAGCTCCCCACTGAATTTCACAGTGCAAGATTTTATTTCAGTTTCTTGGAACAGTGTGAGTTCACAAGCATACACATTCCCCCTCTGCAGACAGATATCTATATCTACCCATATGAGATTAATCCTAAATTTAGACTGTTCGCTGCACACCTTAGCAAAGCAGCAGCTGGCAGCCCCAAGCAGTGTGGAAAAGCTCCTTTAGGAGAGCCAGGCTGTGTTAATGTGCTAAAGCTCCCACCTACAATATGCTGGAAGACATTGTATAAATATACATTGATGGCAAATGCAGATATTCAACAGAGAAGAGACAGGCCCATAACACACTCAAGCAAGGACAGCAATAGCTACTTCCCATGCATTTTTTGAGACATGTTATCCATGTGTATTTTGTTGCATGAACACATACTCCTCCTACTCCTGTGAGGCCAAGTGCATGCCAGGAGGATTATAGCTTTCAAGTTCCTTAAGCAATAGGTATTTCCACGCCCCCGCCCAGTATCTAGAAGAGATGACTAGTTATGGATTCTGCTTGCTTAAAGTGACCAGAGTTCCTCTCTCCCTGCCTTTTAGGTTTAGTATGTGCAATAGGTTTACAGCTCAAGGCCAAGCTCTCTCTTACCCTCAAAGACAGATGCAAAATATGTCGTCATATAATTGAACATACCATAGAATCATAGAATCATAGAATGCCCAAGGTTGGAAGGGACCTCAGAGGTCATCGAGTCCAACCCCCCTGCACACGCAGGGTCAMCTAGAGCACGTGGCACAGGGCTGCATCCAAGCGGGTTTTAAAGATCTCCAAAGAAGGAGACTCCACAACCTCTCTGGGCAGCCTGTTCCAGTGCT